AAACTTAACTATTAAAAAAAAGGAGAAAGAAATAATTATGAATGGTTAAAAGTCACATTTAGACTAATCTTCTACTTAAGTATCTCTAAAAAACAGTTTTAGTTCATGGCAGTCACAAAGATAGGACAAGCACAGCACAATGTCCACCTACTGTATATGGAGATTCTAATGTTTATTGTGTAGGATTAGTAGTATTGTATATAGTGTGCACTTAAACACTGACATCTCTTTGTGGAATACTTTTGCAAACATCACACAGTAAGAGATTTTTTTTCAACAAATAGCTTCTTCCTTGACCTGTGCTTTATCTTTTAAATCAACTTTTCTAAAACCCTTTTAACATTCTATTATCTAGTTGACATTTGATATTGGAAACACACATTTTACTTGTTTTCTGAAATCTCTATATAAGATAATAATGAGTGGGGATGCGGTTCCTGTTTTCCCTTTTAGCCCATATCTGGAACTTTTCATAAGCAATAATTGGTGTGACATTTGTCTTGTTTTTCATTAAAAAACAGATTTATTTGATTAAAGAAAAAATGCATTACAAAATAAGGGGATGAATAAGGGGATGAGGTATAGTTTATAGTGTCATCTGAATGCCAGAAAAAAAATGTGCTCATCATTTTCATTTTAATTGATGGCAGGGGATATTTTCAAATGTAAAATATATATTTTTTCAATTTTGTTCTCTCAATAACACCTTAAAATGCTGTTAAAAGTAGTAGGATATAAGCATAAATAAAAAGACCGTTATTGTCCTAGCATTACTAAAAAAGGAAAGGTTGTAATTTAAGAAAATAGTTGTTCTAAAAGGTGGCATAAGAAACATTATGCTCTTAGTTTTTTATTCTGAAGAATGTCCCTTTGATAACAATACTGTATATTATCAAAAAACTGCAGATGCAGTTTTTCTAAAAATAAAAATAAAGATTTTTGTTTCCTGGTTGCAGTATCCAGCGATTTGATCCTATTAGGTACCTTAGCTTAATATAGCCATTTTCCGTGCATTTCTGCCTGGGAACATCAGTCACTCTGGGCACATTTGAGGGTTTTGTCAGTTTATCATCATATACTAAATTATGTGATTATTAAAAAATGCAAATGAGGGTTTTTTATGTGCCAGTATTTTGAAAGTTATTGGGTTTAATAGGTAACAATGAATTATTGGGACAATGTGACTCATACTTAAAACCCTCAAATAAATAAAATAAAAGGAATGAATTATTACAAAATCACTGTGGTTTATACCATGGCACACAATCAGATGAGATTTGGCATTAAAATGTATTTCTTGAAGCTAGTTAGCAGAAAGAATGGCACATTATCTAATTGAGTTCACTAGTCCAGTGTCTTCCTCATCAGGAGATGTGCTACTCTAATTCTAAGGTCGTCAGTTGCCGGGCTTGTTGAAGTACATTTAATAAACTGATCTTATTTGTACTGTGCTCTTTTCTCCTCACTGCAAAGAATTGCTTGCAATGTATTTATTGTGCATCCATCCCTGAGCATATGAAGTGCTCTTGATTTTTAATTAAAAAATTTACCCACTTGTAAAGTTGTAATCAAGAATAAATGAACCATTTGTGCTTCCAGTATATTAAGGACAAAAGGATTTGAAGTATTTTTGTCTCCTGAGATCTGATTCGTTCTGTGTCTTACACCAAATTAATGAAACAGAAATATTGTGCATTCAAAAATGTAATTTTTGCTAAACTGTTAAATCAATAGGACAAATTTAAAAATAGAATGCCTGATGAGTGCTACATTGCTAATATCTCAAACAGAATTTTCTTTGTCACTATAGCATCACATTCACTCCAAAATTATTGAGCAGTGTGAATTCAATCTTGTTGCCAGGCCAATTTGAGGGAATTAAAAAAAAAATATCAGCCTGAAATCTCTGTACATGCTGGCTGATAAAAATCAAACCTTAAAAATGCAAAGAGCTAGTTTTGTATTTTATGATTGCAAGAACATTGCAAATTCAAGTGCACAGAAATAATGTGAATAGGAGGAGCGCATTAGCAAAAGAACAACAGAAAGAGTCATAGGCAAGTACAGCGTTGCATATTTTATTTTCAAAATAAGCAAGAGGCAACTTTCTTTCATCACCGCTGAAACCTGAATATAACCAAACAGAATAATTCTACATCAACTCATCTTTGACTGCACATACATTCTTACTTTATAATTCCACTTCCCTTCTGAACGACATGTTAGATGTATCTTGGTTAAGAGGACTACAGAATGAATATTTTGAGCTGATCCTTTGCTGTGCAGTATTTTATTGTGTATTTTGTGTTCTAGATCTGCTTTGCTGTTTTGAAGTTGATAAAATAAATTGCACCTCTACGTAGTAGTTTATTTGTTCATTCCCTCAAATTGGCCTGACAACCACAAACTGCTTTTGTCTAATATGTGTTGAAAAGGATAATTATAAGACCCATTATAATGTAATGCATGCCTCCCCTGTTGATACTCTATCCTATTTATAAATATCCTTTCTCTGTTTTTGAAATATCGCAATGCACCATTTTTCTTTTGTATTTTTTAAAGCTTTGAAGTTGGCAACAATGTTGATGACGTATATCATGTGTCTTTGCAGTAGTAGTCCATTCTAGTACATCAGAAGCTAAGGTATCCAAAACTTTTTTCAAGCTCTCAGTAAAGTGCAAATTAACAACAGAAAGAACGGCATTGTCAGATTTAGAAAGGCTGTATTGAATGAGTCAAAACAAAGATAATGCAAAAACTGTTCATTCTAAACTGATATTCGTTAAATATTACAGCTCTTTTGTGAGAACATGAAAAAAGATGTAAGAAGGAAGGTGATTATTGTTAATTTACTGTTTCACTTTTATCCCTTTTGGTAGTACACTGCAATAATTCTTCTTCTTTGCTTTTCTTTGTGCGATCTCTTCCATAGTCATAGTGAAGCCTTGCTTTCTTGATCTGTATCAAGCACACTGTTGAAACATTAGAGTGAGAGGAAGATCTTTCCACACAACGGGAGGTTCTTTCTTTTATCCCTTACATTGCTTAAATGGAAACTGAACTAATTTGATTACATTTTGTGCCAGTTGCTTGGCCTGGAGCTGAATGATGCCTAGTTACTCCTGTTTTAGGCTGCCTATTGGGTTACTGTCTATCGGGGTATCTGCTACTCACTCAACTACTGTAGAAAGAAGTGATTAAGTGTTTCTGGTAGCTTCATTGGTGTGGCTGTATTCACACTGCAGATCCAGTGGAAATAATGTTCTTTTTACATGGACACTTCTTAGATCAGTTAAGACAAATGTATAATGCATTGAGCATGGTCATGCCTTGTCATTTACCCCTTTGAAACAGTGTGGAATTCATCAACGGCAGATCACCAGGTGTTTTGGGAGTTATAAGTTGTTTAGGGAGGGGTGCCATGTACTTTGTGAGCCTAAGAGCTACTGTGATCGGATCTTGGCACAGCAGAGCTCCACATGTTACTAGTCCCTAAGGTTGTGAGGAGTTTTGAATGGTAGGGGGTAACAGGGCTCTGTGCAGTGAGCCTGTTACAGTGGTGATGTCACTGGCTTGAAACCTAGGCAGTGGAGAATTCCCCTGGGGAAGGACCCGGTCTTTTAGCACAGGACAATTCATCTCTGTCTCGGGAATGGCGTTGTGTCTGCTCTGAGCCTGCAAACGACTGATAGATTCCCAGCAGGATCAGAACTTTTCAAGAGCTCCACCCCTGGCACATAATGTAGCTGGTCAAGGTTAAGGCTAAGGATAAACTGTATAGTTAGATTTGTGGGATGTGTGTAGATTGTGTGAACACCCCAGAAGCCATACAAAACTCCCAGAGTGTTTGAACATAACCAGACCATGGGATTGTACACAGTATCTTTAATCCAGACAAAAACCTCTTAGTTTTAGGTCTTAGCATAAAGAATGTCATACTTTACTGTTAACTTTAACAGATTAATTTAAATGTAATGAAAATGGAGTGAGATGTTGAATATATTGTATACATAGCAGATACAGCATGTAGTGTAATTTGCTGTACATTACTCTGCATCCATCCATTTTCTAACCACTTCCTCCGATTCAGTGTTGCAGGAGAGCTGGAGCCTATGCTAAAGGCAGGATATACCCTGAATGGAATGCTATTCCACTGCAGGCACACACAGACACACACACTCTCACAGCAGGACCAATTGTCCCAGAAGCCAATTAACCTACAGTACCAGCAGGTCTTTGGACTGTGGGAGGAAACAAGAGCACCTGGAGGAAACCCATGTGAACGCTTTGAGAGAATACAAACAGCACCCCCGGTCTGTGGGAATTGAACCCAGGATCCCAGCACTGTGAGGCAGCAATACTAATGACTGCCAACAGGTTTACATCTGTCTAAAATTTTCAAGTGAAATGGAATGGTGGGGAAGAGTCAGAAACTCTGACCAAACAGTAGTTTAGTTCCTTCATTGTCTGTGATGTGAACTATAGAAAGAGTGGCTTCTAGCTAAAACATTTTTCGGTTTCAATTCAGTGGTTGGGCACAACTCTTCAGTCTCGCTCACGAAAGGGATCAGGTCATAAGCAGGTACATTGAAGGGAAAACAGCTCTCTCATGGGTATTGCTGTTGCTGTCCATTGCTTTCAGAAACTTACGAACAAATTGGATTAGGAAAGCATGTATTCTACAGGCAAGGTAGCACTCGAACACTGCTGTTTCCCCTCACCTACTGTATGTGTAGAAGATAACACTGAATTAATAACCTACTGTCAAACACTACAGCAGCCCTTGCATGTGTAGGTCTGTGGTCTGTTCACTAGTATGGTCTGATAGAAGAACTGCTCCAGACTCTCATTGCCTGTCTTTGTCTCTCTGTGAATCTTGCTGACTATGCTTAGCCCCGTGCTGAGTCTCTGTGTAATACCCCCCTCTCTCTCAGCCTGCTTACTAACCTTACCTAATTTTTTTCCCCCAATCTTTTCACTGGATGCTGTCTTCTCTTCAGCATGGCTTCAAGGTCAGTAGAGGTCTTTTCACTAACTCCTTCCTTTACAATGTGCTTTGTACTTTGAAGTTGCACATTTCAATGCAGTTTGGTATATTGTTTGTCAACATATGCAAGTGCCAACATCCCAGGGGGGTGTAGAACACAGTTGTGGCTCAACCATTACCTTAACTACAATATTATCATATGCATTACCCTTAAGAGTGAATCAAATCTGAGAACTGAGTTAGAAAATTGATTATAGTTTTGCATAAAGCCAGTGTGTGTTAACCAGAGAAGTTCTATTTAGTCATTTTTTAAAGTAGGGGGGTAGAGGAGTGGCAGTAAACACTGAAATTAATTTCTCTTCAGCATAATTATTTTGACTGAAACACAAGCTAGTACTATTTGTGGTCTTGTTTTTGTTTTGTGGGAAGTTTTTTTTGTGGAACCTTGTGTTTGTGACCTAAATAATAGCAAAGCCGACTTAATTACTTAAATAATTTTGTATGCTTTGCAGAGTTTAGAAAGGAATTCCTATCTTGCACTGAATCAGGGATAAGAAATAACATTTCACAACTTTGGATTTGCATGATGTGCTTATTATGTTCTTTGGGTTGGATAATACAAATTAAATGCTGGTGGCTTTTTTGATTGTACAGGATACACAGTGACTACAGTTTCTTTACAAAAAAGTGGTCTAGATGTGAATATACATATTATTATAATACAACCAAATTAAGAAAAAAATATTTTGAAAGACTTGTTGCAAGTTAGGTTTTTTATTCTTCATTAGTTCATTAGCTATTTGATTGTTTCTTATAATGGACTATATAATGTATATATTGTGGACTATATAAAGTAAAAATCTGTTTGCCATACACAAATGTGCTGAACATGCAGATATCTTGAGTTTTCCTTTGAAGTTGCATTGGAAAAAAATGTCCAGTGCTGCTAACTTTGATATATTGCTGTCTAACACCATAACTTGGAAAATGGTCTCCAATGAAGGTTGTTGGTATGCTTTTTTTCCCTAGAAACTTTGCACACTTCACAGTTCTTGAATAAATCCGAGTTGTATTTGTAATTGGGAAACCAAAGACAATTTTCCACTTTTAGTGAACCGTAAAATTTATCTAATCTAATAGCAATAGGTGCGCAGTTAATAATTGGTAACTACTGGTTTAGCAAGATGCTCTTAACTAATATTATACTATGAACATTAGAGAGACCCTTGTCTTTTCCTCTTGATGGGGAACAGTTGCATTGTTTCTGCTGTATTTGATCAGGTTGGTCTGATGGGTAATTTTAGTAAGCTAAAGTAGCCCTTGTTACCTGCAGAGGTAGTGAAACTCATCAGCTTGGTTAAGTACAACCTTACCATATCTCAGTTGCTTCAGTGTTTTGACAACTTTCACTTACTAATTTTGGTAGTAGCAGATTAGGATTTTTTTTCTTTTTAAGGCCAAGGCCCTGATTTATCACAACACAATGGACTGTTTCCATTTTAGAACATTGTAGGAATATTACACCAAAAAGTAACGTTTAAATCAAATTTTGTAGCGGAAGTCCCTTGCAGACCAGCTTTGAGGCCAGTGTTTTTTTTAAAGAGGGTTTCTGCAGCTGGCTTGCTAAGGCAAAGATGAGAAAATGAAAAAAGAAATAATTTTTAGTTGATTATGTGCCCGTTTGTTTTACTTTTGTATGTTTTTTACGTGTCGTTTTCATGAGCTAATAAATGTTTTGATACTCCCGATAATGACATAAGGGAAAAGGCCTCTGCTTCCTGAAATTAATTTACTATTTATCATAGTTCAGAAGGAAAATGTAGACATAGCAAACCACAGCAGTGATAAAAACAATAAGTTACATTAGAAGATAATGTAATGTTACACTGAACTAGGCAAGCAGTAATTAAGCCACCATGGCCAGGTACTCTTAGACCTCTTTTTCTCTCATAAGCTTTGAAGTAAATATATACAGTTTTTTCTAAACCACTTTCAAGCACAAAACAGAGCTTTATTTGAGAAATGTAACCCTGTAATTATACTCAGAATGTAACAGTAGCATTTTTGACAATGGGGCCTTTGATAGGATTGAGTTTAACAAGTAAACAAAGAATATTAACAGCATGTAGGTATGGTTTAAGTGTATGGCTGCTGGCATCTCATGTAGTGGAAACTCGAGCTGGCACAACTTGTGTATTCTTGCTTGCTCTATGTGTGGAAGTGCTGGGTGGTAACAGGAGTTTGGCGCTTTGCCTGTGTGTTTCGGCAAGGGCGTCGCATTTCAAAATGGGTTGATTGCAACAAGAAGCTGTTTGTTTTGGCATGTTTTCCCAGGGATTAATTCTGGCTTTTTGGGGTTCGATTTAATGGCTCTAAAGAGCGGCATTATTCAATAGCTGTTCATCAATGCTGAAAATGTAGTCTCTTTTAATGGGTGAAGCCAGTACATTTTAAGAAAAAAGGGACCTTAATCTGCACTTCAGAGCAAATTAAAGAAAAGCCTTACATATTCTGACAAGAGTTTATGGTAGCCTGGTTATAAAAGTTTATATTAATTTACTGTACTATCTAGGAGCTATTTTTTCTGAGAAAATGTTAAGTTAAAAATGGAAAATGCTGTTCCTGAACATTTTCTGTCCTTGCCCTGATAATAATTAATTCTCTGCCCGCAAATGTGTATAAAAGAAAGGGGAAAAAGGTAACAGTTTATTGTTCCTAAGTAAAAACTAAGTATATCAGTACATGAATTTAATGAATTGCAAGCTAAAATAATAGGGTCCCAGCTGGAGTAGTGCATAAAGAGGTGAAAAGATAACACGGATGGTTGCTTTTTGGTTTGGTACGGGTTAATGGAGCGATTATTAATTTCCATTTTCACTCACAGAAGCAGATGTCTTCAATTCTGGAACAATATGTTATTATCATTCCAGTGTGTGTCTCAACTTGTTCCTTCATGTCAGCATGGTGTCTTCAAGGCCTGTGACGCTCTGTGGATGTCAGTGGCGCATCGGCTATGATGAATGGCTGCCTTCTGCCACCCTAGGGTTGGCTACCCCTGAGTGTATTGATGGGCTTGGTGTTGAGCTGTTATGTCCCCATCTGCCGGCTGAGCTGTTCTGCACAGTGGCCTTAAAACCCGCTGTCACCAGAAGAGGGACCTGTGGCCTCCTCCTCTCCGCCGAGGCAGGAAGGCTTTACATCTGTAGCCGACAGGACCGAGAAGCATGAAGCGAATGTTTCTGTCACGCAAGGCCACTTCAGCAACTCTGTCTGTCATTCCTGGTTTGTGACTATACAAGTCACAAGCAGGGTCCCTGTAGTCTTAAAAAGGCTACTCATGTACAGTAATTAACTTCTTCACTCTTTATGTTTCCGGAACATTCCCCATTTTAATTGTCAAAACAGAAACAAAAGTTAACTTCTAAAATGTGAATAGTTCATCCGCTGCTAGATAAAATGTATTTCCCCTATTTGTGTTTTTTTGGGGGGGAGATGTATAAATAGAAACCTTGGGTAAAGAAAGCCTGACTGTCTCTTTCGCTCCAGTTGTTGCCAGCAGGATGTGTTTCTAGTTGTCGTGTGGCTTTTGAATACCACTGTGTGCACACCATCCCGGGCCCAGTAGGGAGTAGTGGCAGCTGGCCAAGGCCACGGACTCCTGAAGGGGATCCAGTACCTCACATTAGGGGTTATTTCAGAGAGCCTTGAACGTGACCCGAATGCAGGTTTTGTTAGAGTGGATTTTGGGCGCACAGTTGTGGATAATAGCTTTAAACGAGCACAGAATCTTTAGTGACTACAAGATACAGAATCTTCTTTCTATTTGACATAATTCGTGTTTTCTTTTTATTTATTCAGTGGTAAACGTAAGCTGTCATATTAAATTGTTATTCCTTAAGGATTGAAGCTGTAACCAAGTGGATTTCCTATCCTGAGCGCAGATGTTTGGAGCAAAATTCCCCTCTAGGATGATAAATGGTTGCTGTGGAGATTTCAGTTCTGCTTCTACGGTGTTTTATCTTTGGTCCATCTTCCAACGTTTTTAAAAAGATCAAGCAATTCGGATTCTCCTTTGGTTGGCTGATATACAGTATGTGGGTGAATAGCAAGGATTGCTCTTTTTTCCCTAGATTTAGTGACAGATAAAAACAATATTGGCATTGCTCCCATGTGATCCTGGAGGCCCTCATCGTCTATAGGGTTTTATTCCATTTGAGCTCTTCTAATTGGGCCTAATTGATCCAATTACTAGCTTATTTGGGCCAATTTTATCACAATTCCAAGGTTTGTTAGGTTATGGTAATATAAAGAGTCATGTAAGATGTGCTATACTGCATCCTTCCAGGACTGGAGTTTGGCATCCCTGATACAGGTTTGATCTGTCAAAAAAGGTAGTCTCCAACTTGTCCTTCTTAACATATATTTAACTTTTCAAAGAGTGTACTCATTCTGTTTGTTGAGTCTAATCATGTACTGTGCCACTGCTAAGAACTAAAATAGAGAGAAAGGAAGTACATGGTTCTTTGGGGTCATTTTAAGCGTCTAGCTCTGCTTCCCCCTTTGCGGTTGCTACAGGGAGGATAATGGCCTGGCTTTAAAGTATTTATGAGTTTGCTGAATTTGGTACAAGAAAAATAAGACTGCCCCACCCCCCCCCCAGCTAATAAAGAAATGTTGTAAGACCTTAAATGAGACGTCAACTACAATAACATGCAGCATCGAGGAAGACAAGCAATAAATTCTTGGGGAGCAGCGAGGCCTCTGAGTACGAAGGCCAAGAACTGTGTTTGTGGGAGTATAGGGCTTGGCCTGTGTGGATCTCTGCACTAGCTCCACAGTGGGCTGGTTGTGTTTGGCCTTGAAGGTGCTGAAACAACTCCCCAGTGTGCCGTTCGCCTCGGGAAGGGGGACCAATGGACAGGAAAACTAGGCCGCAAAATTTTTAGAAAAAGGTCATCCAACCTCCATCGTTTACAAGTGCCGTTTTCTTCTCTATCTTCTGATTTTTTAAGTTCTTCTTGGCTT